GGGAATATTTTAATAAGCAATATTGAACAAAAGATGGTCAGAATAATGTTCTAAACAATATGCATACTTTGAATTTTTGTAAAACGGCCCCATTAAGGACTTGTAGGGGTGGCCCCTAAATATTTCCACTTAACATATCTCCACAACGAAAAGAAATCTATAAATAAGTGCTGAACAAAAAATCTACAAAATCACAAGCCCTCTCATTTGATATCAAGACAATGGGGCTGACCCCTCGAATTAGGGGCTCAGAGGGGCCAAAAGTGTTTAATCTATAACTCTCTAATGATCAATTATTTGTTATACATTACTGAAGCAAAAGTATTCATCTTAACAATTTGCAACAATATATGATTAAATATTGAGCATAAGTTACGTAATAAGGTGTCACAAGGGGCCAGAATGTCAAATCTTTGACGCTTTATATCTCAAAAAGGTAGAATATTTTGATGAGCAATATTGAAAAAAAGATGGTCAGAATAATTTTCTAAACAATATGCATACTTTGAATTTTTGTAAAACGGCCCCATTAAGGACTTGTAGGGGTGGCCCCTAAATATTTCCATTTACCATATCTCCACAACGAATAGAAATCTCTGAATAAGTGCTGACTAAAAATATTTAAAATCACAAAACCTTTCATTTGATATCAAGAAAATGGGGCTGGACCCTAAAATTAGGGGCGCAGAGGGGCCAAAAGTATTTTATCTACATCTCTCTAATAATCACTATTTTTCTATACATTACTGAAGCAAAAGTATTCATATTAACAATTTGCAACAATATATGATAATATTTTTATCATATGTTACGTAATTAGGGGACACGAGGGGCCAGAATGTCAAATCTTGACGCTTTATATCTCAAAAAGGGGGAATAATTTGATAAGCAATATTGAACAAAAGATAGTCAGATTAATGTTCTTAACAATATGCATTCTTGAATTTTTGTAAAACAGCATATTAGGGACTTGTTGTGGTGGCCCCTATATATTTTCATTTAGCATATCTCCACAACGCAAAGAAATCTCTGAACAAGTGTTGAACAAAAAATCTTCAAAATTACAAACCCTCTCATTTGATATCAAGAAAAGGGGGCTGACCCCTCAAATTAGGGGCTCTGAGGGGCCAAAAGACTTATCTAGTTGTTTTTATTATTATTCTTACCGATAAAATTTTGTGCACGCGTAATAAGGGGTTCTCAGAATGTCAAATCGGCTTTATATCTCAAAAAGAGGGAATATTTTGATAAGCAATAATGAACAAAAGTTAGTCAGAATGTTCTAAACAATATGCATACTTTGATTTTTTGTAAAATTTCCCCATTAAGGAGCCCCTAAATATTTCAATTCAGCTTATCTCCACAACGAAAAGAAATCTGGAAGTGTTGAACAAAAAGTCTTTAAGATCACAAGACATTTCATTTGATCTGAACCTAATTGGAAATTTTAGATACCGGAACCTTATTGCAAAATTTTTGTTTGAGAACGTCACTTCCGGTCATGAGATATGTACGATTTTCTGATTTTCAGTGGGTCTGCTTGTCCTGGTAACTCCTCCTAAATGACTTAAGATATGGAGTTGAGATTTTCAGTGTAAATAAAGAAAGGATAGTAGAAGTGCCATTTTGAGCCTATAGCTTTGCAGCGCCACAGGCACCAAAGCTCGCCTGAGTTTAAAAATTGGCTCAAAAATATCTCACGCAAATTGACAATTTTTTTTATTATATCTTCTTATCTAGGCTTTGACCCTTCACAGAAAATCAAACATGTTAAATGATTGTTTTAAATGGAAAGTTTCAAATGGAGAGGGCAACTGTTTAGTTTTTGTAAGTTCAAACAAACATCTGACGTGATACAAATATTCTTAAAGAACATTACCTAAACAGCTATTATAAATTTGTAAATACATGTAAATTAGGGTGATATGAGAGTAACCGTGTTTTCAAAAAATTTTTTCTGATATTAATTTCATACAATCCGCTAGCCTTTCATACAATCATTGATATTTTCTCACAAAATTTTATAATTAAAATTAATCCCAAGCTATATCTCGCTCTCTCTCTTTGTTTTTAATAAGAGACACACTTTAATTGTTAAGGGACCCCTTAAAGATTTATACTTGTCAAAGATCATTGACGGACACATAGAAATTGGCTTCAATCATCATTTGGTACCTGTACTACCGTTATGTAAAGAAAGAACAAATACAAGCGTTTCATATCAATTTTTTGCATAAGTTAGAAAAAATATGAAGCTACAACAATATATTAAAATTTTGAAATTAAATACATTGGGTACATATTGATGTCCATATTTTTATTGTACTACGCACATGTTTACAATTTGGAAATTCGTTGTATAATGGTGATAGCGTAGGTTAAATATTGTAAACTAGTTTGTAAATTACAACCACTTTCTGAAAATGATCTGAAAAATTATTAAAATTAAACGATTATTCGATCCTATCGTTCGTATTCTAAACAATTTACAAAGCATTGAACACCGACTATATATTCGACTTAGCTGTCCGAGTAAAATCGACATCCAAAAAATATTAAAATCTTAAGCCTTATTATCTGAGATGAAGAAAACAAAGGCTGACCCCTCAAATAAGGGGCCTTGAGGGAGCAAAAGCCTTTTATTCATAGATATTTGATGCTATATTAATCAAACAAATAAAATGAAAATGCAGAAGTTTTTATATCCTCATGTTTTTACAAAGATTATAGTCAAAATCATATCTCATCTAATTGAAAAATAGGATATTCAGAATGGTATTCTAAACCACAATCATTCAATTTTTGCAAAACGGTCCCATTAAGGACTTGAGAAGGCCCCAAATTATTTCTATTCTATATAGCAAGAACGAAAAGAAATTTGTGAGGAGTTGTTGAACAAAAAAACCCTTCAAAATCACGGGTTTTATCATTTATTGTGAAGAAATAGGGGTTGACCCTTCAAATAAGGGGCCTAGTGGGGCCAAAAGACTTTCATCTATAACTCGTTAACTGTAAACTTTTTGTTATAAATTACTAAAGCAAAAATGTTTATCTTTACAATCTGCAGCAAAAATGCTAAATCTTTGATTCTTCATGCCTTCAAAGGAAGAAATATTTTGATAAGCAGCCTTGAAAAAAAAGATGTTCAGAATCATATTCTAAACCATATACATCCATTCAATTTTTGCTAAACGGTCCCATTTAGGACGTGAACAGCTGAACAGAAAGTCTCTAAAATCCCGAGATTTATCATTTGATATGAAAAAAGGGGTTGATCCTTTAAATAAGGGACCTAAAGGGGCCAAAAGACTTTCATTTATAACTCTTTTACTATCAATGTTTTGTTATAAATTACTTAAGCAAAAATGTTTATCTTTACAAATTGCAACAATTTCTTGTAAAATTATAATCATATGTTAGGTAATTAGGGACCATAAGGGGCCAAAATGTTAAATCTTTGACACATTGTACCTTCGAAGTAAGAATTATTTTGATAAGCAGTATTGACTAAAGGATGTTCAGAATCGTATTCAAAAGCATATACAATCATTCAGTTTTTGCAAAATGGTCACCAAATGTGAAAAGAAATTTGTGAAAAGTTGTCAAGCAAAAAATCTTTAAAAATGAAATAGTTTTTCAGTTGATAGGAAGAAAAAGGCTCTGATACCTCAAATAAAGGGTCTAGAAGGGCCAGAAGACTTATCATCTTTTCAACTATCAATTTGTTGTTCTAAATTAGTCTGAAACAAAAATTCTAAGCTTCACACAATTTTACACTTAGAATCTATAAAACAAGTAAAGCATTTTGTTTTAAATCGAAAAAACTAATGAAATATAGTGTAACATTACTCACTGTCAATTACGTTCTTAATAGTCCGGATAAAGTTTTTGTCGATAATCTTATTCTTGTCCTCATGTTTAGACTTTTACAGAGGTCTAACGGTCTAAAAACACAATTTGTTATTTGTACACAAATGTCACTAACATCATAGTTTACTAAATGTTTTATTATGCATATTTTGGATCTATGTTGATAGTATCTCGAGCATTGCACATGATTTTAAAAAAGTGTGGTGCTCCGTCAGTTCAGGAGACGTCATTTTTTTCACAATCGTTTTCAAAGGAATCGCATCGGAGAAAAACACTATATTTCTGTTAGTACTTAAAATATCACGCTAGAAATTTACACACATACATGTAGTTATAGAACAATATAGATACATTTGAGAAAAATTGTCTAAAAATATTGCGAATTACTAGTATAGAAAATTATTGAGTTAAATTTTAGATTCCGCATGCTTTTGTTTCAGATTTTCTGTCGTGCTTTGTACTACTCAATCATCAATATCTACATAGCGATAATTTTAGGGTAAAATTTTTAAAATAGAAATTTTGTCCTAACTTTAATGGAATATTTAAGATGCACATTTCTGTGAAATTTTATAACTATATGAGGTAATAATAGCAGAGTCCGCGTAATTTTTGAACAGCCGTACAATCATTCATATTTTGCAAAAATGTTCAATTCAGGACCCGAAATGCTGGCCCCTAAATATATTTATTCTACATAGTTCGAAAACAAAAGGAAATTTCTACATAGTTGCCAATCAAAAAATCCTTGAAATTACAAGCCTTATCATTTGATATGAAAAGAAAGGATCGGACCCCTAAAATTAGAGACCAAAAGACTTTTTCTTTGTTTAAAAACTATTAAATAAAAATTTAAAGAATTTTGGAATTTTATTTTGCACAAAACACCGGGACCCAACTCTCATATCTTGAGTGCACTCAACATTTGCTACATGTATTATTCTTTTAGATCTCTCATCTAACATTGGTAATTAAAACGTCACTTCAAGCTCCTTCTTAAAACTATTACTTGAACTAAAGTTTATACATTTTCTACATTCTACAAAGTATATACATTTTATACATTTTGAAAATTTGAGGCATCACTAGCCTTTCAGATAGATAAGCAATTCCATCTTATTCTTTATGTTTTATGTGTTTGTACTGATGGATACCATCAAAGCGTCGTGATAACTGTAGTAAGTTGGGATTTTTTTCACTTCTGCCTCTAAATTATGTGACATGTACACATGGTCAAGGACAGTTGCTCCTTCGGTTGTACTAAAATTAACCATTTGCTTAAAACCTTGTTTGCCCATGAAAGTTTGAATAACCCCAAAGGATCTTGCATCTTCATTGAAGTCGCCAAGGCAAACAATGAACCTCTTTTGCAATCTGTAATGTTCTATCACCATTTCAAGTTGAACTAAGAATTGAGTTGCATTCAAAGAATTTGGGCGATAGATAGTTAACACAACTATACCCTCTGACACACACTTAACACAGATGCCTTCAACATTCTTGAAAGGAAGCAAACAGACATCCATTTCTTTACCAGTCTCTCTCGTATAAACAGCTACACCTCCACCCTTTGATGCACGCAACTGTAAGACCTGGACATTGCTTTCATCATATGTCTCTCCTCTTGGTGCTTGGTGAAAGATGAAACCATTTAATTCAAATAAACTGACGTTTTGTCCTGGTCTCAACCAAGTCTCTGTAAGGCAAATGATATCTGCATTCCTATGACGAATATCTTTTTGCAGATCAAGGAAATGTTTACTGAGACTCTGTATATTGTGTAGAAAAATTGCTATGCCCTGTTTTGATATACCAAAATTAGGAAGTGTTAATTTCGGCATTTCTTGCAAAGCTGCTCTGACTTCTGGATCAGCGTATATCTTCTTTTGTAAAGATTCAGCTTCGTTTGTTTCAATAAATAAACCTTCCTTTGATGTAACTCTGCTCAAAGCAACATATCCTTGTCCAGGGGAGAATGTCCTATCTAAATTAACCACAACTTTTTCAACTGTCATTCCTTGTACTTTGTGAGATGTACATGCCCAGGATAATCGTAATGGAAACTGATGACGAACAACATTTTTTGCTTTCTGTTCTAGTATCTCCTCTTGAACTCTTTCGATCAAAACAATGTTTCCAGATTTAGTTCTCTTTCCTGTCTTCTTCCCAACATTGGCATTGTCAAATATTACTGCAACTGCTACAATGGTGTTTGAACCATATTTCTGACCTTGCACAAAATGAGAAATCCGTCCCATAACGCCATTAACAAGGCCGTCATCCACATTGCAGTTCCGCGTGAGCATAACTCTGGCACCGATTCCCATCAACAAACAGTTAGAAAGATTATCCGTCCTTGCTCTTGTGACTGGCTTACTTTTTAAGATTAGCTTACCTGTTGCTCGATCTTTTGTAAAGTCTTGTGCATCGATCTCAACAAGGTCATCACAGGTCCTCCTGAGCATTTTCAAGTTATATGCATTGACTTCTTCATTTGTTGCATAGACGTGGAGGACATCTTCTGGTCCTTCTCTTAGACAATCGTTCAAAATTGAAGCTGTTTCTTCTTCCAGTGCTTGCTTTATTACTCTAGTCCGAAGTAAATTCAGTGTTGTTGCAAATGGGATGTCTTCACGTTGCCTCATAATTTCAGTTAGCTCCACTACTTTGAAAAAGTCTACCCAATAATCAACAGGATAAAGAGCATTGTCTTTATACAGTCTTTCGTCTTTGCGTTGTTTCACAGGAGGAAGCTGGTAGAAATCCCCCACTGCAATCACTGTGACTCCTCCAAATGGTTCCTTGCATTTCTTAATTTGCACTAGTCTTTCATGGACATAGTATAATAATTTTTTATAAACCATTGAAATTTCATCAATTACAAGTATTTGCAGATCACAGAGTTGAACTCTCATTTCATTTAGAGTTTGCTCTTTCAATGGCTCATATGGCAGAGGCATATATTTAGGCAGTGAAAATAAATGATGGATAGTGTTCCCTCCAATGTTAAACGCTGCTGTTCCAGTAAATGCGGCAAGTAGTACTGAAACACTGTCAGGAGACGTTAACTTTTTCTGCAGTATTCGGGATGCCTCATAGTGTATGGATTTGATGAGATGACTCTTGCCTGTTCCTGCGCCACCAGTTATAAAAATATGTAGTGCATCAGGTTTTTCTCCAAAGTTTCTTCTCAAGCACCATTCCCGCACAAAGTAAAACACCTTCATTTGCGTCTCATTTAAATTCCGAAGGGTTTGTTGCATTTCCTCTGTTGACTGTGTATTCTGTTGAACCTTGTAAAGAACATCCGAATTTACTTCTGTTTCCATGTCTGGCAGTTCTTCTGCAGTATTTGAACTAAGATGCAAGTTTTTCTGGGCAGTGCATTCCTGTCTCATAAGTTCTGTCTCTGGACAAAGGTTTGCCCAAGCATCTTCTGGTTCTCCAAGATTTTCTAAGCTTTGCTGTGCCTCATCAATAACATGTTCATTTTGAGCATAACGTATGCGGTTCGCGTCTACAATGGATTTGACCGATTGCAGCCTTTGCTTTCCTGTGATTCGAACATTTCCATTATCGTAAAATGTTTCATAAAGATCAAAGCCAGGAGGTTTCAATTGGATACCTGTCCAGTACGGCAGAAAGAGCTGTAGTTGACATTGGAAATACTTCTCTGACATTTTTTCTGCATCAAATCTTGGGTATCTAATCACAGCTGGTTTTGAGCGTGTTCTTCTTTGGATGTATCCCTTCGAATTCTGCAGTTTAAACACATTTTCGTTTTCAGTCTTGGGAACCTGTGACTTTGCAAGTACTCTGAATTCAGAGCAAAATTCAGCCAAGCACATATTCTGGAACAGTGGTGCATCTGGTCGATTTTCATACCTCTCTACAATATTTGTCATCCAAATATCTTCCTCATCTTCATCATTGTCAACATTTTCATCGATGCTTTTCCTGGCATTCCTTTTTAGTTGAGATAATGGTTTTGTCAGTCGAGTAGGATTTTCGCCCACAGGAACAAATACCACTTTCCTTGAGCATTCTTTCATTTTGAGGTTACATATGCGATAAACAGCTTCTTGTGCACTCACTTCTCTATGATTCAAATAGGCAGATCCAATTTTCTTTAGGATTGTGCGTGCACTTTCATTTCCTTCTTCTGCCTCTAATTTTGTTTGTTTCAGCATCATTCCCATTTCTCTCTCGGATTTAGAAATGTATGAAATAACGTAAACAATACAACTAAATGGATCCAAAACAAACTGAATATCCATATTGGCATCCCAGCATTTTAAAAGGCATGGGTTGTACTGATTGGTCCATAGTTCATTTGGGTTTCTTTGAAGAACAACTGATCTCTTCTTTGATAATCTTTTGTGAGCTTCCTCGTACTGTGCTTGTGTCAATCCCAGATGTTCGAAAATTTCTTCCGTAGTGTTCAATGCGTTTGAATCATCTTGCACTTCATTCCAAACTTGCAAAAGTATTTCTTTAGCAATTGCGTCTTCTTGTTTCAAATCAATAGTCCCAGTAGAATTTTCGACGTTCTCTTCCTCGAGTGGGGAATTTATGAATGTACATACAGAAGGCGGTCTGGGAAAATTAAACCTACAATCCGTACCCTTCTTTCTGCATGACTTTGAATGTTTTCTGCTGTGCTGTTGTACAGCCAAAACTATTTCATTCAGTTCCAAATCTTCCTTCTCTGAGGGCACTGCGCAACTAATGTATTTGTTTATGAAATTGCATACGGCATCCTCACCATCCTCATCCAGTTTTGGAGCATTTTTTATCCAATATAAGCAATGCATGTGAGGTGACCCTCTTTGTTGAAATTCGACTCTTTGAAAAAAATCTGAAACTTTTCCAATCGGTTCTGATGGTGATCATATAACTTCTGTCTGAAAAACATGAAATCTATGCTCAAACATTCTGGCAACTGTGACAGGATTGCTTCTCAGGACCTCATTCTTTTCAGACCAATCCAAAACATTAGGGTCTCTGTTGTCATTTTGTTGCCTTAATATTGTTGCAATTGCATCATTCCATCTATGTTCTGCAGCAGAGAAGGAGCAAAACCAAGTAGGTATCCCTAACTGTCGAAGCATAGCAAACAGATCTTTTTGCGCAGCTGACCAATATGCCGGTGTTCCACGTATGGGCTGCATGAATCTCAATGCCTCGTCATTTCTTATCAACTTGGAGAGTATTTCAGGATTCTGTACCATGCTAGATGTCACTAATTTGTTGTCACTTCCCATTCTACTGACCGATTTCCGTACTGATATCTGTGTCTTTTCTATAACTTGGTTTAAATCGGACATAAATTGACTGAAGAAAATGTAATTGTTGTCTTTTGCAAATCTGTCATCACTGTTCATAAGCCGATTGTTGAAATATCTTGACAGTGTTATTCGTGTTTCTCTGTCTTCATTCCATGAAAAACGTCCACTAGGAAAAAGGTATGGAAATGATTTAGCTTCATTCCCCTCTTCCTGCAACATTTTAACTGGATTATTTCCTTCCCCTGGAGCAATATCATAGATATCATCAAAGTAATGATCAAGAACCTCCTGTGCAATATCGACAGGTTGTAAACAAGTATCTGACACAATGTGCTGCTGATCACCACTTTCTGAGATATCATCATCTTGTTCAGATACTTCTTCGCTACACTCTAGGTGTCCTTTCCAGTTTGTGTCTATAGCTACATCTTTGTACCACTGATTGTTCAGTTTCAAAAACCTTAAGGCCTCAAATATGTGCTTCGGATCAACAAACTGGTATTCACTGTACCCTTTGTAACTTAATTTTCTCTTCAACTTCACTCTTAAAAGAAGGTCATCTTCGGGTTTCATTGGTAAACTTGTAACTTTCCTCAGATCTGATGGTATACATACAACTGGTCCATGGACATTTTTCTGACCACCATGTGGAAGTGCCATAACTTTCATGAAAGGTATGTGCATCGCTATTAAATGTTTTTCAAGACTGTTTAACTCCTTCAGTTCTTTTGGAATATTTTCAAGGCCCATATTGTTAGCTGATGCTTCTGCTGGAAAATTTCCACTTAAGATTTTTCTGTGGCAGGTATAACAAATCCATAAATTTGATTTAATGCAATTCTCTGGGCATGATTCAGTGCACTGGTGGCAGTACTTTTCCTGAATACACAAGTCAGCAATATTTCTTGTCTGCTCATTCTTTTTATATGTTTCCCGTTCACATCTTTGGACTTGATTTTGAAACAAAAGCCGATCACAGCAACAACATGTATAATCAATGCCCTGCACAGCCTTTTCTTTGAATACTTTCACTACCTCTTCCTGATTTTCCAGTTTCACTCTGTCTGCAATTCTCTGATTTTGTACCCTCTCCTTCTTTTGCGCTTTTAATACTTCACTGGAATCATATTGATTTTTACTGGCAGTCTTAATTTTTGACCTGAAAGATTCATCACTTTCATATTTTTTAGCTGCAGTGTTAAGCTTTCTTTCCCTGAAATTTTCATTTTCTCTATATCTCTTTGTACCTGCAGCATTAACTTGGTTTCGGTGCACATCGTTTGTCCAGTACTTCAGTTTGCTCTTAGATTTTACACATTCTCTGTGTTCAGCATCTAATTCATACATTTGATTGCTTCTCCTTTTGACATTTTCCCTATGTTCTTCGTCCTTTGCATACCTATCAATACTTCTCCTTTTGACACCTTCCCTATGCTCTTCATTCTTTGCATACCTATCAATACTTCTACTTTTGACATTTTCCCTGTATTGTTTATCTTCTGCATATCTTTTACAATTCTTCTTCTTGACATTTTCCCTATGATCATCATCTATTGTATACCTTTCAATGTTTCTTCTTTTGAGTTTTTCCCTATAATTATCATTTATTGCATACTTATCAATACTTCTCTTCTTGGCATCTTCTCTATGATCATCATCTGTCGCATATTTTTCTGAGGATGCTCTCAGTTTCTCCTTTCTATATTCCTCATCTTGCACATACCTCCTCCTTAAATTCTCTTTTCGTCTCTCTGCAGCACTCAATTTCCCTTGTGATTCTGTTGTTACAGTAGATTGTCTCTTCTCCTGCATACGTGTTCGGTTTCGAGAACGCTTTTCATACTCTTGAGGAATTTTATTTTGCTGTTTTTGTGTCAAGTCCATTTCCTCTCCATTCACAGAAAGAACTACATTGTAATGGTTCTGTTGGTGATGATTTAAGTAAATTGCACCAGTTCTGCTTTGCATACTTGGTTCCACTTCAGCAACTAAAAACCTTAACCAACATCCTGCTGAGTATGTGTATATGTCAATGTTCAGCAAGTGTGATGTTGCAAATATTTCAACCTCAGTGGCCCATGTACCTTCTTGCAACATTTGAGTAGAAGAAAGGTGACTTTCAACAGACCTTACACCATCTTTAAGGAATGACTTAAATAACTCTCTGTTTTTCATCATATGCTCACAGACTGCCTTGCGTAATACATGGTGAAAATCCTCCGAGTTTGTAAGACTGAATGAAATCGCTCTGAAAAAGCAATTTCCATCCCCTAAAACTTTCTTTTCAAATGTCGGCTCTGTGATATTTCTTCTTATACATTGTATGTCAGAAAATTCTGAGTCAATGAAAGGAATCTTCAAAATTTGACAAAGGTGTTCTTTCAAGTTCACAGGCAGGGGAATGAAACTAAATTCTTCCTGTTCATGACTAATAAAAATTAAGTCATCTTCTTTACTACATGTGTCAACCATGTTTTCCACAGATAGGTCTGATCTTTCAAATATTTCACAAGTATCTACTTTCTGCTCAAAAAAACTGTTGGCATTTTTTCCAATGAAATTCATTCTGCAGGTTACACCACACACATTACATTCAACACATTTTGAATATCCCATAGAAAAAGCAAGACACTGAATATGAGAGAATACTTCATTCACATTTTGAAATAAAACTCGTGTGCTCTTCCCCGCTATATTCAACATTCCATCAGCAGATCTAGAATGCGAGTCAAAAGCAAAGAAGCCATTTTCTGTTGATCCTATAAGCATAGTACTTCCACCAAAGCACACAAAACAGCCGTCATTGTCTGTAAGAGCAACTTGGAGTGCATCATTAAGTGGTAATGCATTAAATTCTGCATAGTTTAGTCCAGAATCTGCCAAAATAACACTTGCTAATGTCTCTTCTGCATGAAATTGGTATGATCGATTAAAGCATTCAAAAAATTGCGGTAATTCCTCTACAAGCAAATACCTATCACTGATTGATGAGCTTCTTTGCAAATACGTGTATAATTCATCACCTGTCATTAAAATTCTGTCCATATCCCTTGTTGTCCAACTCTCTGCATTCTTAAGTTTGTGATAGGCTAATCCTGCTAAACAATTTGCAACACACTGTGTCCCAGCATTCTCTTCAAACATAGGATGAGCTTGATGAAATGAGCCCTGAACTGAAAAGGATGTTTCATAGTTACCTTCCTTTGGTACTTTTTGCCAATACTGATCTTCACATCTTAAATTCTTCTCTTTACAATCACTCTCTGATTTACTATGTTTCTCATTGTTTTCATTCTCATTTTTTCCATTTGTTTTCATTTCAGATTCTAGATTGTATTCGTTCAAATTTCCTTTTGATATTCGTTCAGTTTCCTTTTTAGTATTCGTTAAAGTGCCCTCATCTTTTGATATCCTACTGGTCTCCTCCTCCCTGGAGGTATCCAGCTGCGCCTGACCTGCTGGACCAGACATATGCCCTATGTCCGATCCAGGTGCTCTCGGTGGAGCACAAACCCACAGTGGGGAGTCAGGGGACGGTGCCTTGCCCTCGTTACGGACAAACAGACGACTTCCCCGAGGAGATGGGAACCTCGGGGCAGGTGAATGCATTTTCACTCGAGGTGAGGCCTGCATCCTGGCCAGGGGTTTTTCCTCTTTAGGTGGAAACCCCATCAAACCAAGCCCCGGAAAATTACCGGGAGGAGCTGAGACAGCTCCATCCTCTGTCCCGCAAGGAACAGAAGACTCTGCCACTTCCTCATCTGGTGACACTTCTAGAGTTGCAGGTTTCTGTCTCTCCTGCCTCTTTCTTTCTCTCTCTTTTTCACGCCGTCTTCTATCAGTAACAGCTTTCTTTTTCTTTGGCATCTAAAAAAATTTTTTAAATAAAATATAAAATTCTAGCCATGAAATGGTTAGAAATGTTTAAGCATCAAAGAATTCCTAATTTTTGTAAGACAAATATTCACCAAGTTTTGAGGATATTCTCTTCACTCTGTTTTATGATGATATGTGACCATGTAGACTTTAACAAGAGATGTTTGTAAAACACTTATGCCCCCCCCCCCCCCCCCCGCACACACACAAATTGGAATTTTTCTAAGTCCAAAAGGGCATAACTCTGTCAATTACGGTGTGATCATACCCAAAACAGAACTTGACCTAGATATTCATCTGACTAATTGGTATACTAAATTAAATTTCAATATGTGCAACCTCTCCAAAGAAAATGAACGGAAACTGCAAATATTTGGAATTTTTCTAAGTCCAAGGGGCATATCTCTGTCAATTATGGTGCGATCGTACCCAAAACAGAACTTGACCTAGATATTCATCTGAATAATCTGTATACTTAATTCCATTTCAATATGTGCAACCTCTCCAAAGAAAATGATCGGAAACTGCAAATATTTGGAATTTTTCTAAGTCCAAGGGGCATAACTCTGTCAATTATGGTGCGATCGTACCCAAAACAGAACTTGACCTAGATATTCATCTGAATAAGCTGTATACTTAATTCCATTTCA